TTCAAATTGAAATCACACACACCCACAAAATACCATCCATGTGACAGGAAATATGGAAGATTCTACCACCATATGGAAAACTACTTAGGGTTTTTTTTTTTTTACTTTTTAAATAAGTGCATTCTCTGAGAAAATTAGGTCATATTTTAAAGCAGTCATTACATTATTGTCATCTCTACAGTATATAGATGAGAAATGATATTTAAAAAGAAAATACAAGCAGATTTGCAGCATAAAATTATTATGCTGCTGTATATAAATTATTTCCACATTCAGTACAATGGGTATTCTGAGGGTTTTACTATAGAATGAGTTCTGCATGAGAATGGAAATTACTGTTCAATTTTTTTATTTTGCTTTTAAAAATGCACTTGCTGCCAAAATCTCCAGACAAACGTATATCATTAAAATACATAAATAAAAACCAGGAAGGAAAGTAAAATAATAAGACCAGGAAGAACACACTAAACAAAAAACATCATATGGAGCTCCAAATGTGAATAAATCTCAGCTCAAATAAATCCAAAGGAAAAAAAAATAACCAAACTAAAATATCCCTTCAACTAAATTTTCTTGTGTATGAATAACCCACGTTTCCCAGACATTCTTGGAGAACAGAGTGTGCTAGTGCCTAGATCAAGACACAAACCACTTGGCTTTGTGAGAAAAGGGGAATAAAATTGTCTTCACTGATCCTATAAGATTTTTTGGGGGGAAAAAAATGTTCCCTTTTAGGAAAAAATTCTAATTGAATTCTGTTCCCGTCTTTTCTGAAAATGTGGCTAGACTCTTTACCCACCACTATCGCTACTGCCTTGTTAAAGAAATAGCAATAATTCTTCACCGGTGTCCACTCAAAACACATAAAAGTTTACAATTTCAACCAAATACTGATTTACTATAACATTACTATTTATAAGTCTGATGGAAGTATTAGGTTACAATCTTGGTTTCATCGTTCTCGGTGGAAACTTGGCAAGTCATTTACCTACTAGAGGCTCCAGGTTCCTTGGGGGCTGGACTATATTTAGGTGGGTAATTTTCTTTTTTAAGGAGTAAAAAAAATCTCTTTCCACTTTCCTCTGCCAGTCATTTCCACTTCCTCCCACAATAACTGGGACAGGACGGGGGCGGGGGGAGAAAGAGGAATAGTCAGTGTTGACCATGAAATGTCAGCACACTTGGTTACTGGAAAGCACGGGAGAGATTCTGGGGTCAAGGTGGCTGAGAGCAGGGCTCCAGGAATACTCAGCCTGAGACAGAGTCCTGGCTCTGCCATTTCATATCTATGTGACTTTGCACTGCAGTTTACCCCTGATATTAAGGTTAACACCTGTGAAGGGCGAGGAACAGGGCCAGGTGTTGCCTCTTATGGCTAGTACTACTTTCAGAATGTCAGGATGTTCTCCATTTCCTGGGATCCAAACAAATGAGCCATTTAGAAGTACAATAGCAGTGGGGATTTAGACACAAATGCCAATTTGACAGGTTGGACAGTCACAAAACAGAAAAATGCTAGGAAAATGAGTGGATGCACAAAGATGACTCTCCCTTTGTATTTTATGAGATTTTGTTTGTTTGTTTGTGTTTTTCGGGCTGCCTGGGGTATTTGGCAAAGGTGAGAAAGGGAAGAAGGATGGGAAAATGTGATCATCCTGCCAGGGGAACTTGGCTGGGTCTTCATCTACAGTTTTAACCTTGGGAGCAACAGAAAAGCTGGGCTTGGCTGAACAGCATATTAAAAGCCTCTCTTATAGTTCTGAGAGGCCTTTTGCAGTTGCCAGGTCCCAGCCAAAATAGTGAGGGGCTTGCAAGGGTGTGTAATGAGAGCCAGAGGTGGAGATTTGACCAGAGAAAGGAGAAAAACAAATACCTTGTGAGACCTTTGGAGAAGTCCAGGTGTCAAGAATATAAACCTCTATTGTATTTACATTCATCATAACATTTCTATTCTGTTTCAAAAGAAAAAAAAGCTATTCAGCTATAAGAAGATTCTCTGCCAAAGAATAAAATTTCTGCAATTGATATATACTTTTTCAATTCATCACCCCTCAGCTACAAATGCTAGAGCTAATGTGGGTGTGGAACAAAGTTTGGTGATTTAGAAAAGCAGGGGAGGAACTTGTATTAATTCAGGTTTAGCTTCCAATGAGCTATTTTCCAATTGCAAATCAGTACAGTGTTTCTTCCAAATATTCCAAAAAATATTAGAAAAAATTGGGAAAGTATTACATAAATAGAATGTGGTTCTAAGTTAAGTGTATTGAAATCTCAAATTTCAAAACAGAGTCACCACTGTTACAAAATTAAAAGTTAAATGGAACCAAAACATTTCTAATACAATAAGGAAAGCAAAAACCAGAGACTAATAATTAACAGTAATTGAATTTAGTCTCTGAATTTAGTTTGGACTGGATCACATGTATCAGGTGGAATTTAAATTATCACTGTACTTAATGCAAATAGGAAGAAAAGTTGCGTGTTTCTGATTTTAATTAAGCAGTGGGTTTTCATATAATAAAGAACATATAGCCAATAAAACATGAAAAATCTAAATGACTTGTCAAGACCTCTGAGAAAGTGGAACCAGAGACAAAACCTCAAAATAGACACCTTAGATCAAGAGACTCCAGCAGTAAGGCAAAATGAATCACCAGATAGGAAGTTACTACACATAAACTCAAAATCCTTCATAGCCTCATTGATTTTATGGGGGAAAATAAAACTCAGAGGGTAACATGCCACAACTGATCCTACATAGTTTTTCTGTGCTCCTACCAGCTGATACTCATCAATAAATGCGATGAAAAAGTGTTTTTAAAAATCCAAGGGAAAAAATGAAAAGCTACCCACATGAATGAACCATCATTCGTGAAAGGTAACTTAGCGGGATCACCTTGTGGGTCTAAGAAGATAAATCAAAATTGTATAACTGACCTTCATGAAGTGGCCTAGAGAGAGGGGAGAAATTATGAAGGTGACTTTTTAATTGGCTTATTGTTATTGTTATTATTATTATTATTATTATTATTAATTATTTTAAGCTTCAGGAACTGAGCTCATTAGGATCACATTTAGATTTTCTAAAAAGTCTGGATGAAAGTATCCTTGAAAAATAATCTTAATTTCTCTCCCATCCCAGTAAATGAAACTGCCAAGAAATGCACTGTTACTAAAGAATTCATCACCCCCAAGTCAGATCTAATCTTAGCAAAATCAATGGGCTGTCAAACTGATTGACATCATAGCCCTAATTATGTTAGAACAATTTAAAACACACCTGTAAAAAGAGAGGGAGAGACAGAGAAAAAGAGAAAGAGTGGTTCCTTTAATAGGACAAATGAGATCTGGTATTAAGAATTGTAGATCCAAAGATATTAAAAGTGATTGATATGATAATGCAAGAGGTATCTGGCTCAGTCTTGTTGAACGGCTTCACTTGTTTAAAAAATCACCTCCCCATGAAGCTCCCTAACATCTAATTAAATATTTTTCATAAAAAGAACTTATATTATCTACCATGAATACTGTCCTGGAATTATCTCAACATCACTTTAGAGTACAATTTTATAAAGGCATTAGAATTATTTTCTAAAGACAGGTAAAAGTCGTTCTCACCTGCTTTCTATAACAAATAACTAGATGTCTCAATTTGCCTCAATTTGAAATGAAAGGTTGTAGTCCCCCAAACACAGAGCCCCATCAGGGACTCCTGAATGTCCCTGGATGTGTAATATGTCAATCAACGGCAGCCCTCAAGTACTGCCAAAGTGCATTCAAGGGAGCAACATTCCCAGCATCACAGCTAAATATGAAATTATTTTCATATACATCCACATATAAAGTTATACCCAAGAGGGAGGCAGAGAAAGAATACAAAGATGTTGAAATATACTTGCAGAAAGATGAAGTTCCAAACACTTACGTGGAAAATATCATATCATGAGCACTGAAAATACTAAGTGGACCTGTCTTTTATAACTTGCAGAACTGATTTGAAAGAAATCAATGTTGCCGTAATAGTTTAAAACAGCAATGAGTCAGAACATTTTACCTACTATGCAGAAAAGAAAAAAGAAAAACTTTGGCAAGCCTTTTTAAAACTGGCCCTGTTGTATATTGACTGAAGAGTGTGACAAAAATTGATAGCAGCTCTGCTGCCCTCGGGCCACTTCATATCACCAAGGGGACCCAAGGAAGGCTCACCACAATTTGCAAGTCTGGTTTACATGAATCATAGTAAGGTACATCCATTTCTTAGAGCACTAAAGACTACACATCATCCAAAAATATTAACTTTATTGTTATCATTTTTGATACTGTTTTAAAAAATCAGATTGCTTTTGAATATGTTCTTGGGGCTCTAATGAGAAAATTCAATGCTGATATCCTAGTAATAACTACTTTCAGTCTTTGTGTTTTCTAAAAACAAAAATGTTTACTTAATAAATTGAATATAGAAATGAAGTCGATTGCTTATAGTCAGGAAATCAAAAGAAGGTTAATCCTTTTGCAGAATTCACAACCACAATGTGAAATGTGCTACATTATTACAGTTATGAACGCTAAAATAAAGGAGTCACCATCACTGGCACTTAAAACAAGCCTGTCCTCTTAAAACTGATGCTGTTTTAAATAATCTTACATGACATTTTTTTACAAGAAAATCCCCACATGAAAACTGAAGACAAGCTACCGTGTAACAAAACCTGAATTAGGATCATTCTAATAATGAAAAATTGAGCTAAATCTTTTAGAATAAATCTCGCAGGCAAAGCACAAATGCAAAACAGCTCTTTGTTAACTCAGGTTTTTCTAAGATATCGCTATAAAAATAACATACTGTCAAGAAAGCTCATGCTTTTTCTAAAAATAGACAACACTATAAATGATTAAGAGAGGAAAAAAAGTTCCCTCTTAACATAATGTTTTTCCTATAACACCAAGATTCACATAGAAAAGCATGCCTATATCAGAGTGACGTGGAAACTTTTACCTACCATCAAATTTCTTGTGCCTGGACACGAAGGTGGTGCGTACAAAATGGCTTGTCTCTTCCACAAGGTTTTCAAACTCGAGTTTGCTCTGTTGGCTTAACTTGTCTTCCATTTCTGTGGTGCAGCATGTATATTCCTGAGGACAGATTCTTAGATGTTCCCCTGCAATGAGAAGTTAAACATTAGTTTGGAATCATAAGAACTTTTGGTAGATTTCAGAGATTTTGCTTCTCTAAAATTTCACTCAGATCCTGGGGTACTTGTTCACTCCAGCCATCCGCAGGGACTCTATCGGGGCCTCAGCACATCAGTGTTCATAACATTTCAAACACCTGGTGGACTTAAGTTGTCTCTGTTACCCATCATGTAAATGCAGATATATTAAAAACCTCAGTAGACCATGGCTTATTTCCTGCTTTTATTTGAAATGCATCAAGTAACACTGGGTAACAGGAGATGTAATAGAGTTGTAAGTATGCTTGTCTTTGGAAACCTCAAGCAAGGCAAATGACATTTCCAGTAGTCCCATCACCCTAGTGCATTAGACAGCAAGGACAAGAAAAGATGGTGATAGTTCCTTCTGTTTTCTCTCTGCCAGCCTGTCTGTGGGACTGCATCAGCTTTTGTCTAGGTTAAAGTCAGTGTATTTTAAATGGCAGGTCCCATGCGTCACACATTCACATTCTCTCAGGCAACGTTTCTTGTTAGACAGAAAATGTTCTCCTGAAAGGAGGAAGCCACTGATGGGTTTAATTAATGCTTACATTATATGGAAATGTAGAATAAAAGGGAATGAAAGTCTTGTATTTAATTCAACTGATTTATCTCATGATATACATGGCCACCTCTTTTGACAATATTGCTGTCTTCAGTGCGATTTGCAAGTAAAAGCCAATCCTTTCTCCATGAAATTAAAATGGTTTGTTATTACATAAAATGTGAATTTCCAATTGATGCAGCTCAGTTACTGTCAAAAATGTTTATCAGAGCCTGTGGAGAGAAGGAAGAAAATCCACCCAATGTCTTGCTAAATAAAACCAGAAAATTGTCCCTGCGATTATAGTCACTTTAGGGCATTGAAAACAAAATGAACAAACTACTTGATGCTGTGATTAAAATTCATTTATAATATTTAACAGCACTTATAAAACGTATGTCTTATGACCCGTGTGAAAAGAATGTGTCTCAGAGTTCCTCACGTAGTTTGCTGCTTAAACTCCTATTTAAAACAACACCAGAATAAAAAAAAATGATCATAAGTATGAATTAAAGTTAGATTTTATATAATTCTTATAATGGAAGGAGACTATAAAAATCATATAAACATTTTTAAAGGAAATGCACCGTTCTTGAGAATGATAAACAACAAATTCAGGTTAGTATCTCCCTTCTAGGAGGGATTAGGGTTTGAGAGAAATGCTCAAATGCCTTTATCTATAATCTTTTATTTCTAAAGCTATTTGATGGACATAGTGTTTATTATATTATATTTAGTTTTTCTGTATGACTAAAATATTTTGTAATAAGAATTTGGAAGTATTTCATTAAAAAGTATAGTCACCACAGTTTCGCTACAAGAGGGCAGGAGGCAGATAGGAAGAAAGAAAAACAAACTGCCCTCGACGATCAGAAGCCAGCCTGGCCCTTCCTTCTCCTATTACATATAAAAAACCTCACAGAATACCAACCTCAGACAAGATTACTGTGAGACCATGATAAAATGACACCAAGCAAGACCACTCCATAATTTTGTCTAAGCACAAAAAACACTGTGCCATCTGAAAAGTACCAAATACCTCCTTTTCCAGCCAAAATGGCAGACTGGTTTCTTCTTTATCATTCACAGATTTGTCCTTGTATGAGTCTACCATCTTATTGGTAAGATTTATTGAGATACCTCATCAAAGAATTACCTTATTGTGAAATTACCTCTGCTTCCTGACAACATCCAAGACCGGGTGAACCCCTAGTTCTTTGGAACCTCCCCCAAATCACCAAACCAAATTCCAAATCCTATAACAGATTTCTTTCTAACACCCTCTTCCTGAGACACCCCATAGTATATTCTCACTCCTACAATGAATGACAACCAAACTTGTTCAACTATAGGTGTTTTCCTGATCATCTTTGACTTGAAGATTTTGCCAATTCTAAAATGGGGAGGCCCAGAACAAGGTGAATTGTGAAGTTTTTCCCAAAGTGATTCAGATACCCACATCCCATTAAGAAGCGTGGTTTTAGAGCTTAAGACACTGGGGAGAAATAAGTATGACTTTATTAAAAGCAAGTGATCCACTAATCACTAATTCTCTTCAATATTCTTTTTATAAAATATCAAGCCCAATTGATAAGGACCAAAATAACCCACAAGCAAAACCTCTAAGTGTTCTACTAACTTTTATATTGTCATTCAAGATTTTTCTCAAAAAATATTATTCTGAAGATTCTGATCACGTTCATGGGTATTTGAAAAACAGAACATCCAGTGGAGTTGCATTTTATGCAGAAGACAGATGATATGGGCAGCACATAAAGTGAAAAGATTTTCTAAAGGAAAAATATTAAATTCATCAGTAGAGTACCCAGACTGTTGAGAATACCACCCAGATAATAGGTAATTTTATTAGTTCCATTATCTCTACTTTGATCAATGTTTTCCTGCGGGTCTCAGTTCATTCCTTCATTTCTTTCACACACATATACACACCCCCCTCAACACTTCTTTGTCTGGCTACTTGTACAATGCTTTTCATTTTCAATCACCTTCAGGAAATTTAGGCAGCAAAAAATGGCTGATTCTAGCTTAGTTTTATTCATGGTCTGGGGCACATGACCACTGTGTGAATCAATGTCACGGATTTAAATGATATTCCTATCCCTTCACTTTCCCTCTCCATGGTTGCCTATCTCCATCTCTCCAACTCTCTAGTTTTCTCCCTGCCAGGGACTCATCTAAAGGAGAAGAATTGAGCTAAATTCTTGAGAACATTTCCAGTTTTATGAACAATCTAACACTGCAGGCTGTTATGTATATTTCCCTGACCCTACACCTACACACACACGCACATACACACACACATACACATCCCACATGACATGATTTTGGTTTAAAGTTGTCTCATTAAGAAGTAAGTACCTTTCTTTCTTTATTTATCACTTGAAATAAAATACTGATTTTCTTGGATTGATTAAAAATTATAATGCCTCTCATCAGATCTCATTTCATGAATGTAGATCCATGGGGTTTCTTCTACAAATATTCCAAATACAAATATTTCCCTTAGAACATAAAATATTTACTTTCTCTTGGTCAGTTTTCCCACCTGACCAAAATGTGTCAGAAGTCCCACACATTTTGTTGTAAGTTCAATTTTAATGATTCAGAGGGAGAATGCAGCCCTGATGTACTAAATCTTGCGAAATGGACATGTCATTTTTGCATAATTGAGTAGGAAATAGAGTAGGGCAAAATAGGATGTACAGTATGGGGATTTAAAAAATGGTTGACAACAGGTCAGAGAAAGGAGCATTCAGCAAAGTTGTTAATACTAAATATTCATTCAAAGTGGGTACAGATATGTGACTTTTGGCCTCTCATATCTGTTGAATACATAATAATAGACCTGGGGTTATTATTTTGCAAACACACAAACCTAATATAGAGATCAGAAGAATTTGGAGTTGAATGTGTCTTGCCCTTCCCAGAAGTATTAAGTCAGTTACTAGTTAGAAGAAAAACTTAAGTATCTAGACGTCAGGTACATGTCAGCTTAAGGATGACCCAGGGCCACAGCCACTCTAGATTTTTCATCTAAACCCACATAGGTCTGGTTCACTATATTTCCAAATAGGCTGGGGGTTCTTTAAGTTATACGTGGCTTCATGTCAAGGAATGCAGGCCACCTTTCATTCTGCAAGTGACTATCACTTACCATTCCATAATGTTGCTACACCATTTCTTCCTTCACTCAATATTAAAGGGCTGTTCATTTTTGAAAATTATTTTACAGGTTTTTTTGTTATATTTTTTGGTATTTTTTTAAAAATGACATAATAATCATATTACCTGATATTTTAAGTTCTTTATTTTAATTTAATTTTTCTAGTGTGATATTATATTGGTAATAATTACATTAACATGTGTATTAAAATTAGACATTATGATTTGACCTTGCCGCTTATTAGCTATGTGATGTTAGAATGAGCTGCTTAACATCTTGATTCCTCACCTGTAAAAGTTGAAATAATGAAAACAGGGTAGAGGACAATGCAGGGAAAAGGTTTAACTCAGTGCCTAGAAATCACTACAGTTGACATTAAATTTTATAAACTAAAATATGAAATATATCTCAGTAATTATTTCAAAATGTTAACTTATAAAATAATAATGTCAAATATTAAGACATTCTAATTAATAAGCAAAAGGATGAAAACTCCACATTTATAAATACAGAAAATGACTTGATAAGAAAAAATGGCTTTCTTCAGAAAAAATCTCTCTATAGCACTAGTATCTCACTATTTCTGGAATCGATAACTATTTATTTGATGTCAACAAACAATAATTTATTGCACATATATGCTCTCAATTCTTTCTGAAATTTAAGTGAATCAATACAAACTAATTGTAGTAGATGCAAAAGAGTTTTCCCCATTTTCAAAATTTTGCCAGACACAAATGTTAAATTAACAAGAACTATCCATTTATTGCAGGGCATGTAATTTCCTCGTATTATAGCAAAAACCCAGAAATGTTGAGCAGGATCAAGTAACCAATAGTCATGTCATACATCTTAGTGTCTCTAAACTATGGTAACAGAAAACCTGTAAAAACTTTTTTCTGGAAGGAAAAGACACATAGGTGCTGGGGCAGTGGAGGTATCTTCAGCAAACTTTCAGGTCACAGTCTGAGCAGGCTTTCTTCATTAGTATCACTCATTTGGTAAAACCTGCTGTTCAACAGTTACCTTTAATGTGGAATATTTTGCATCTGTCTAGGGAAAAACAGATAGATTGACAAAAATGAAAATTTTTTGCCTAACTGTAATATTGCTTCGAGTTGTTTACTTTAAAAGGCTTCAGTATATACACTGAGATGTATGTGTGTGTGTCTATAAACTTTAATCTACACCCTTGGGGCAGTTATTTAGCATTTAGAGTAGTACAAACAG